TTTTTTTCTTTTTTTTTCTTTTTTTCTTTTTTTTTTTCTTTTCTTTTTGACTTGAAACATCGGAGAGGGTGTGGGGGGGGTGCTGGTAGGAGCAGTCATCCCCTCTACGCCCTCTATATTAGATGCCTCCGTTCCATTGGTGGGGAGCTGCACCTGCTGGAAACCGGGTCCGGCATCCCGTTCTATCTCTCTATCTCTCGATCCATCTATCGATCGAGAGAGAGAGAGAGACAGAGAGACAACTCCATAAACAAAAGGTTGATCACAATAGCTCGGTAGCTGGCTATTGAGTAGGGGATAAATATACCGCTTAGCTGAACATTTAAGGGGAGGGAGGAGGCTGGCCCACCCCCCAAACCACAACAACACCATTTATAGCAACATGCGTTGATGCCAAACGTCTTCCAACATTCACATATCATTTACGGATGCTTCATACATAATAGAATTATAGAAAACACAAAGATGGCACCCCCATGTATATCCTATGACTTCATTTGGTGCAATTGCACTAAACAATGAACCAACAAAATATTCCGAATCATTTTTCTAAGATGTGCATGCGCGTTAAGTCTTGCAGGATGAATCGGTATGCCAGTTTGCAGTTGATATATTCAGGCAAAACGTGTCCTCTTATATTCATCAATTATTTAGAGCATGAAAAATCGCCAAAGTTGTCACACGAAACATTTTGCAGCAAATCACCAATCAGTCGTGGCCAAGCCTACTAGCCACCGTTAGAACTTTATGATCGGGCTGCATAAAAATTATGCCTTTCGAGGGCCCCTTTATGTGTTTCAAAGGTACCAGGTGTAGTGGCAATAGCTCTCGATTCGCTACAAAAATATGAAGGACCTATCACTGTACAACTTTCACCCCCGTTATACCCCATTTTCGAGTGGATGCCCAGTCTGGAAATTCACGCCACCTTGACATAAATATGGCAACCCACTACACGCCAAACTCAGGGCTGTGAATTTGTAGAAGGTTGTGTAGGATGGGGGGAAGAATGGTAGAGGGAGAGTGTCCGACAGGAGAATGGATGCACCGAGTTCACCCCATGTGCCGGCAAACTGAGCCCACCCACAACACAGGGGACACTCAAGGACAACTCTAAGCCTCAACCAACACACGCAGGGGTATCAACCCTAAATCGGCCAGGATGAAATTCCTGCATCGCTGTCCCACGTCACTTCCTTAACCATTGTGCCATGGCTCTCCAAGATCGGACGCATGCTCAAATCCTTCTAAGGCGACCAGATTCGTATTTCACTGTGGAGGCAATTCCTACAGTGTTGTCCCACGTCGCCACCAGGGTCGCTAGCTCGCACCTGCTAGGAAAGGAGAGTGCACCTCGCTCCTCCCCCAACTCTTATGCACTGAGCCCGCCTCCTCTCTCCGCCCAGCCCCCTAATGGTTGGATTCCACCTTGAATTTGATTCATATCCCTTTCGCGCCGATTGGCATTGATGCTCCACTACTGAGCATCAGACCTATCAGCGTCGGTTGACGCCTTCTGACCAAATTCGTTGGGTTGTAGGCTTGAAGATTTGATCATGCGACCTTATACCGCAATGCGCATTCAACGGCAATGCTCTACCCACTGAGCTAAGATTGCGGTTAGGGCTACGGATTTTAACGAGGCTAATTTTGAACTCTGCAACAGTAGGGTTATTTTCGTTACTCACTGTTTCGCCCAAAGCTGAAAGTCTGCTAGCCTTCGGTTGAATGATATCGACGAATTGTTACCTCACCATAGTGGTACGTGCATTCATGCTAAAACGTTATTGAAAATGAGTCGAAATTGGAAGATGTTGTTCCCCAACTGCCTCCCGGCATACCTCCCCCCCCATCCCATCTTGGCAATCCTCCGTACTTCCAACTAGGAAGTCTAGTATTATTTTACATGCATTTTTAAACCATTGGTACATTTCCCAACCATTTTTATCAGATGCAGATGCATGCATGCGTGTCATGTCTCATGGGATTAATTGGCATATCGGTTCACAAAAGATGTGTCCAGGCAAATCAATTTGCGTGAACGAATGCATCTTTTTCTCTCTATAGTACCACTTGTAGGGCCCGTCTAGAGTTTTATTTCTGTAGAAGGTTTTGTATTGCTTTTTTCGGTCTTTGGTTGTTTCTTTCTACAATTTCCGCTTCTCCGTGTCATTGCAGTAACTACTCTGACCGTGGTACTTTTGTTTCGTTTTCTCGGGTGAAGGTTACGGCGACATTCAATTTTTTTTTATTTATTTTTTTTTGTGGCTTAAGTAGTGTTTTGCTGTTAGTTTTCGGGTCATTGGTTTTGGGATGTCTTGGTGTGCTTTTTCCTTCCTCACAACCACGGGTTGGGCTCGGATGGACTGCCTTGCCTGGTAGCCCAGTTGGTCGTCCCCTATTGTGAGGCACACCAGGTCCGTCACCCGATTTGTATAATTCAACCTTGGGCACTAGACCCGTTTGTCCCAATCGTTTTGGCGCAGTTGGCCAGAATCAAAATAGAAGTACAACATCATTAAACCACCAGTACTTCCAAGGCACTTTCTCCGGGGCTGGAAACACACTGAGCACCAAAAGGAAAGAATCGGCACATGCCTCCTTTGGCTGGCGCTGACAGACATTTTGCTCCGGTGGCCGAGCCCCAAAAGATGCGGCGGCCCTGGACCGAAAACAAATAGCAGGGCCAAATAATGTTGGGGACAACGCAGTGATTTCCCCAGCTAAACATTTATAGGGCTCGGGGAAACAAAAGGTTGGCAACACCAGCCAAAATGAAATCAATTTCCTACTCGGTGCGCAGCTCTTGCTGGATACTGGGACATGGGACAAACTATGGCTCCACAACTCTTGCTGGATATTGGGACATGGGACAAACTATGGTTCCACAACCCTTGCTGGATACTGGGACATGGGATAAACTATGGCTCATCACGGGGGTCAATCCCCAATTACGCGGACTATTCATTATTGGTCGTTGATCCACGTAATCTATACTCATAAATTGAGAAATTGAGAATTTGCGTAAGTGGGACTTGGCCCCAGGACTTCTTCTGAACTTGGCTAGAGATGCTCGTTCATTATCAACCCGGGGCCCGGTTCCCTGCTTGTGATATAAATTGTTTTTTTTTAATTTAAACAACAAAATTGCCATAAAAAAAAGGTTCGGAAATACGGGCGGTTTTGGTGCGATTTTTATTGGAGACCTTGAATAATTCTTAATTTTCACTCGGCGGCAGTTGGCTGTGAGTGAGAGAGAGCGTGTGCGGGCTGATAATTCGAGCGCTGGTCACACGGTGGAGCATGCAATACTTTGGGGTGCACGCCAAGATCAGTGGGTCGGGTGGTATTCAAGCTTGACCTGCCCTAGCCGGAGACCTTCAGAGCTGGATGGAGCTGGAGATCGGTCGCGCCATGCCGCTACTCTACTCTACCAGCCGGATGCTCTCTTTCCCATTGTAGGCGCCGTGGGGTGATCGTTTCTCCAACTCCTCCTTGATTGGCGTCATCCATTATTTTGATTTCCTTCCTCGCGATCGTGCGTGCACGGGGAGAGAGAGAGAGAGAGAGAGAGAGAGAGAGAGAGGGGGGAGGGGAAGCGTCTGGGACAGGATGTACGGATTTTACGCTATGACATTCAATGTCAAGGATGGGTATCTAGAGGCAATAGTGAGAGGATACCAGTTGGGACTGCTGACAACAGCGGACTACAACAATCCTCGTCAGTGCGAGACGCTGGAAGACATCAAGCTTCATCTCTCTGGCACCGACTACAGCTCATTTTTGGCAAACGGTTCGTATATATAAAATATATATATCGTCACAAATAGAACTGCCCGGTAAACCGTAGGCAGAGAGAGAGAAGAGGACAACAAACGAGGGGCTGTGACAAACTGTTTCGTCGGAGTTTCACCGACTCATATATGTACACTTCCACCGATCCAGAGTATTAATTAACATGTTTTCCTAATTAGGTGACATGTTCTACTAATTGCAATGAATGATGTGTCAGCTTTGAGGTATCGTCTTCTGATCACAGTGAAATACGAATCCAATTCATCTAAAATCCAACAGATATCTCATCGTCTCACTGCACACCGACAGGACTAGTATTAATTAGGTGATATGGATTTGATAAGATTATGAATGGGAATGATTGATGGTCACGGTGGCCCCAAGGATATAAGGTATCACCTTTACTGGGAAGTCCACCAACGGTCACCTTTTCACTACCTCCGCTAAACTCCTCTTCCTCCTCCTCGCCTATTTGCTACTTGCCTGTGCTCAATGGTTGATGCTATGATATTCTTTTGCCCTATACTGCTTCCTGCTTCAGGGCGCAAGTGCGGCTGCATGTGCTTTACCATGACCACCTTCGACGCAGCGCTAGGCTTTGATAAGCTGGACAATGTTGCGCAGGCCTTTGTTGCCTTCGCCACCGTGTCGAGCGCCATTGTTTTGAGTGCCTTGTTCAGTCTTGGGCGCGCCTGTTTGGCGCGAACCTCCACCTCGTTGTTCAGTGCGCGCCATCATTGCATATCTAGCATTGTGTAGGCTGGCCT